GCACTACAAACAATATAAATCACTAATATTCTTAAAGTTTTATTGCTTTATTATCAAAATTATTTACATTAAGGAAAAAAATCTTATACTCTTAAGGTGAATGAAAAAAACTGTACATTGGCATCTAGCCAGAAAATGAAACATATGTAATAAAACAATGTAGATATGTGAGGTAGCAGATTGGTAATGTTATTAACAGGGGGAAAGGGAATCTGCGAATTTGCTATTATTATTAAGAAAATATTCTAAAAATGAATGTGATCAACACAATGAAAAAAAGTTTTTTTTTTTTTTTTTAAAAATAGGTAGAATAGCGGTTTGTATTTTCCGTGTTCTCAACACCTCTATCCATAGCATAAGTCGAATATCTATTCAAATCTTCCACGATTTCTTCGTCATCATATATAACAGATCTTCGGTAAGTTTCATATTCTTTAGCCCAATTGTTCGCAGACTTCACTGTTTGATCGGCTTGAGTGCGACGTAAAATGTTGTAAAAATTATCAAGCGTTTGGTTTAAAACACTGTGACGGCGTGCTTTTCGTTGCCTTTGACGACGAACAACTTTAAACGATTGGTTAATATTGGATAAGATGTTTGTTCGTGAAGTTTTTGCGATTTCGGTCATTTTTTTTTTTATAAATGATATGAAATAAAAAAAATATGGATATGAATATGAAAATAATGTATTGAGAAAAATAAAATAATAATAATAATAATATAATAATAATGAAATAAAATAAAAATATTTCAATTTTTGAAATTTCTGAAATTTCTGATATTCGACAGAATGATGGGAAAAAAAAGCAAAACAGGCGAGTTTTATTAATTTTGAAAAATCGTAGATCTTTTGAAGAGCAGGTGAAAATGATGCTGTTACAAGATACTCACGTTGATCCGAAACCAGGAGACACTGCAAGATAAAAAGCAGGCTTGTTCACTGATTGAGCTAAAATGGGGGTATCGAATACATCCAATGCAAGGGCCTGTGTTAAATGTACGCCACATTCTTAGAATAATATACACTACATATCGGAAATCTTAGAAAGTCTTTATTTATCTATTAGAAACAGAACAATGGATAAAAATAGTTTCATTATAATCCATGACTTTCTTTGTGCCATTGTAACTAACGTCAATTACCGTTGAAAGATTTTTGTCATACGTTAACTAACCATTTAGAATGTCATTGCTTCTGACTTTCCGATTTATTTTCTTTGTTGATGGATTATAAAACGTCATGACGATGGTTTATTATTTCCAATGTTGGATATTTATGAATTGAAGTTCTTGGATATTCTTTTTGAATTTACCAGAAATGAGTATAAAATGGTGCTGCTTTCCATACTTCTTAAAAGATTTCTTATTTTACCGTCAATTATCTCCCATCTGATTGTAGGATTCATCTCTTTCCTCGGTAGATTTTCACATGTTATTACGTATATTTTATTATTAGATAATTTACCTGCGATATATATAAACGCCGTCCGAGTTGACCATTATAATCTAATCTAGGTGATGGATGTAATAGATCTTCATGTTTTGTTTATTGACCAGCCTTTGCCAGTTACTTGAGCGCCGTAGACATCTCATAAACAATTACACAATATCGATATTGGTACTTGCGTCCGGAGAACTTTCTTCTGTGCCTCAATGTCCGAAATTACGTTTTTGATGCATTACTAATATAGTATCAAACGTTGATGAGATCATGACGTTATATTACCGAGTGTTTTGATAAGTCCCTGGACAGGACCGTTTTATTGATCACTTTGATTGTCAAATTATTATTAGGACATAAATGGTCCTATCTAGAAACTTTTAATGATTAACAAAAAGGCCCTGTCCAGGGACTTAACAAACACTTGGTATAAATTTTAAGCTTCAAACTTTTATCGGTTTCCAATCTATCGCTATAAAGTTACCAAGTTACTATTAATTTCAACTACAGTCAGACCTCTCTAAGTGCACGCCATTGGGACCACACTTTAATAACGTGCATATAGAGAATAATAAGAAAAAGTGCATTTATGGAGGTCATGTAGATATTTGGGCTGGCACTTGAGCATGCATTTAGAGAGGGTGTGCACTTGTAGAGGGTGCACTTAGAGAGGTCTGACTGTATATAGTATTTAAAGATATATACCGGGTTGGTGTAAAGTAATTGGACAGTGACCTTTTTTTAATCGCTGATAACTATTGATTATCACTTAACACTTATACCAATATTACGTAGATATAATAAATAATTATAGAAATTCAATATTAACGGAGATAGTAAAAAAGGTCACTGTCCAGTTACTACCCGGTAGTAATAATAATAATTATTATTAACACGCGTTCATAATTGTGAAACGCAAATTTACTGAATTTGCATTTTTGTCTATTTGATAGCTACTTATCGTTATAGCGAAAAAATGGCCAAAATAGGTTACTTCTCGTATCACGAAATTGATCGTGTTTTATATAGACTATTCTTGTGCACTTGTTCTTTAACTTACAGTGCTCTGGTAGAGCTCTGGTAGAGCTCATGCAGGAAACGAAGTACTTAACGAGACTATACATTTGGTTGATTTGTTAACAAAAATGATTAATTTAGTATTAGATTCTTGATATTATTTTTTGTTTTTTTCGGATTTTTTACCGTCTAGATGAATTGATAATCGCTAAAATTTATTAAAGACCTGCAATATTTTGTGTTTCGCTTTTACCACTAAATTATGATTCCGATCATTATATAAATATTATATACGTACAACAAATTACAATTTAATTACAAACTTATGACGTAGCACTATTTCTCACGTAATAATAAAGGCGTAGCGTATAAAATCTAATCAATATCAATTTCCAACTACCCCTTAGCCTTTAGCAAATTTATTTTTATTTTTTTACAAGTTTTCGATTTAAGGGTAAAGTATAGGATCGTCAAATTTCATATAAAATCGGGTTGCAAATTTTTGTATAGAACATAATAGAACATAATAAAACACCTGCATTTAAATCTAGAACTTTCCGTGTAAATTATAAGGGTCACATGTCAAACTTTTTTTTCTAAAATGAGTATACTAAGCACCAATATAATATATAATATAAGTTTTATTTTAAAAGGTATGTAAAGAAAGTTTTCTATCTTTTTTTTCAATAGAACCAAGTTTCTGTTTGGACAAGAGCCTATTTTGTGAAAAGAAATCTTCAAATTAAACTGCTTTCAAAGTCTAAATAACATGTAGATAATGATATAGCACAGATAAGTATTACATTATTATTAAATTTATTATTTTTACTATTAAGTGACTAATAGTTGTATTTTATATTAGAAACAGGCAAGTTGCTATTGGTTATAAAGTAGATATGTTACTTTTAATATTATTTGAATGGATTGGATTATCTGTATTTGAAATATTTTATTGAAAAACTTTTCAATTTTGTATTATTAATTTAACAATGAGATCATCTATTTGTAATATCTTAACAGTTGGTTAGAATTGTTAATAGTTTGGGTTAGGGTTGTTTGAAATCAGTTACAATTCAAATAGCTTAAAGTACCAAGTTTTATACTTTAGTTTGTTCTTTGGTTTAGCAATCTGATTTAAATTTTTTTATTTTATACTAGGTATAATCTGTTGTTTTGCTAAAAATTTTAAAATTTTGAAATAATATTTGAATCTATAATATAACTTTATGAACATATATGTTTACAAAATCATATGATAATAATATGATTTATAGATATGCATGTTTGCGAAATAATATATAATATTCCAATTAACAACTCTATAGTTGGTTCAATTTACTTACAAATAAATAATTTTCAATATAAGAAACTCTTGATACAAGAAAAATTTTATAAGTCCTAATTGAGAATATTATAATAAAAAACTTTCAATATAAAAAAAATTTAAAAAAAATATCTTGGTCAGATCCAAAAATTTTTTATCAAAAGCCATTTATAAATTGAGTCTTTTGAGTATAGATCATATTTTTAAGATATTTGCTTCAAAGCTTAAAATTGTAATAGATCTATTTTTAAAGTTTTTTATTTGTTTTTTATTATATATTTATTTAAACCAAAATTTTAATATTTATAATAATGATTGTATTCAAACTTTTTTTTTATTTTTAATTATAATTTTTTTAAAAAACTAATAAGTTCAAGTTTAGTAATTGTTTATTATAATTTTATTTGTTTATTATAATTTTATTTGTTTATTACAAAACTGAAATAACTATCTTGTATAGATTTTTATATATCTTTACAAGTATTTCTATTTTTTGTATAAAATTATCATCTATAGTAGATTTTAAATACTATTTAGTATCTTTCTTTTATTTTTGTTAATAGTTATATATACTATATTGTCTTGTACAATTATAAGTTCTAAGTTCTGTTTGAGATTAATTCTCATGAGCATAAAAATTTTACAACTTAAAAATTTTATTCAAGATATATTATATGAAGTACAAGTGCAAGCACTAACAATCTTATTAAATAATTATGGAAAAAACTTTATAAATGAATTAATTTAGGAATTGTACAATAATTTCAAATCAAATATCATAAATCTTCTGCATACCAACTTTAAACAAA